GTAATATCCGAAGGAAGGGCTGATGATTTTGGGCACTTCTTTAGAACCTTGTTCTGCAGGTACAACTAACCTTAGTACATACCTTTGGGATGGGTAGACCCTAACTCCTTGCACATACCTTTAACCTAGGACTTGTAAATATATGTGCATTGCATCCTGTCGTACCTCAAAAAATACGATCCTCGTGATGGATGCGAAAAATACGTTCGAAACAGAGTCGCCACCGAACTTTATTCATTCCAAGGAAGGAATAGGAAAATATAGATAAAACCTTTAAAGAGATAAGAACATGGTCATCGCAACCATATTCTAGGTTTGGGAGTCGATTACATGAGCAGAAGGTATTAGCACCCCTCATGTACGTTATACTCAACGGGAACCTCTTGATTCGATTCGAGACTAAAGTTAGCTACGCTTATTTGTTTTCTTCTAAGGTTTCTTCTATGGGGAAATGGGTGGTTTTAAGATAGGGTGCTCGCCAAGAATCAGGGTCCTTGTGCCTACGTATCTTCACTTGTAAGAAGTAGAAAATCAGAGCAATCGTAGTTCGTGGGACTACGGGTAAAGAGGGGATTGTGGGGAATGTGCTCGCCAAGATCATCGCAATCTTGTGCCTACGTATTCTCAATAGATGTGAGAAATCATAGCAGTCGTAGTTCGGCTAACTACGGTTGGTTGGTTAATGTTTAGAATGAACGAGAGTTTAGGTCGCATTCTAACTGCTAAACATTGGCTTGTCTGCTCGCTAGGGGAGGCTGAAGCACGAGTTTCATATGCGCGGAAGAAAGGACTAAACAATGTTCTTGGTCAAAGGGGTATGAGTTGAACGAGAGTTTATGTCGCATTCTAACTGCTAAACATTGGCTTGTCTGCTCGCTAGGGGAGGCTGAAGCACAAGTTTGTTATGCGTGGAAGAAGGGATTAAACAATGTTCTTTGGTAGAAGGTATGGGAACCTAAAGGTGGGAAAGAAGGAAAAGTGGGAAAGTGCTCCCTAGGATCATCGCAATCCTATGCCTACGTATTCTCAACGGATGTGAGAAATCAGAGCAGCCGTAGTTCGGCTAACTACGGTAAAAGGTTTGTGCTTGGAATGAACGAGAGTTTAGGTCGCATTCTAACTGCTAAACATTGGCTTGTCTGCTCCCTAGGGGAGGCTGAAGCACGAGTTTGTTATACGCGGAAGAATGGACTAAACAATGTTCTTTGGAACAGGTATGTTTGAGTTGGAAATTGCACGAGGGAGAAGAATTTAGTGTTTGAAAGATTCAATCGCATGGGAGCGAGAAAGGAATTAGCATGGTTGAATATTTTAAGGGAGAATGACGACTACTCGATAAACGAGATATCAGCCTCGCAATCAATTAATTGGGATATCATTGGAATGCTAGATCCCAACTGCCGCGGTAAAATTTGGATACCAAACTATTGATTAGTTTGAATCTTTAATTCATTTTGCAACCGAACTTTGATTTGTCCAAAGGAAGGGATAAAGATCAAAATTCCCACAATGCAATGCAAATACAAGTTTAGAGAGTTATAGGTTCGGGGGTTGGTTAAACTTAGGGAAGGTACTAGCATCCTAAGTTTCTGTAGTATTCTACAGGAACCTCTTGTTTTATGTTTGTTTATTGCTATGGATTATCTGCTTAAAGGTTAAGAGACCTAGGGGTTTATTTCTAAGTATACTCGATAAGATATCGCATCTTATGCCTACATATCCTTACGGGAGTGGAATCAGAGTATTTTGTAGTTCTCCTAAAGGGTTTGAGGAGTTCTTTGACTGTGGTCAAAGTTTCTACGGGTTTAGGATAGTTGATTGATTGGGTTTAGGAGAAGAGATGAGTTGTCATTTTAAGGAAGATTTAACCACCACAAATTGTAGGAATGTAGTCTTTGCAGCGTCTTAAGAGAAGGGCTCAAGTACTCGGATAGGGATCGACGAGGTACGCCTCTATCTCTCTTAAGGCAAAATTCCTACGGTATTGATTATATTGATGTGGGGTGGAGATTCTATCTCGCTTAAGATGATTAACATCTTATTCTCTAATGTGTTTGAATAAGTTTGTTTGAATTGAGTTGTATTGTTTTCCTATGTTGTAAAAGGATGGCAGTCCTTCCTATGGGGTAGGATCTATCCTAAGATATCGACTTGAATGGGATCATGGATCATGTGGGAGAATGATGCAAATGAGATGCACTACACACAATTGTTGAATCATGTGTAGGGTTTTCCTTTGGACGGAATGCGATGCGAGAATATAAATTGCGATAATATAAATGCGGAAATATAAAGTTGCGAATAAAGTAAAGGCGGATAAATAAGCATACATGTACGCATGAAAGCGCTGAAGTATGTGAGAGTGAGTGTGTCGTGAATGTGAGTGTGCACGATTGAATTGATTTTTTTACGATGTTGATTATTTTAGACAGATTGATTACGGGGATTTGATTTTAGGAAGAGATTAATTTAAATCTTAAGGTGACATTGATTTGAGAAAATTTATATTTGGGTGAAATTGGTTTTAAGAAAAAAGGTTAAATTAATTTTAGTGAGATTGATTTTATGGGGAGATTATTATAAATTAATTGATTTTAAGGGAGATGTTGAGTTAATTAATTTAGATAAAAGTGTGAATAAAGTTTTTTTTTTTTAAATAATTAGTGAAATAAAAAGATTAATTAAGTTGGATAAAAAATATTTCTAAGTTACTTATTAAATAAATTGGTTATGAATTAATTTAATTGCTAATTAGAAATAGAAAGGTTTTAGATAAAGGGTTAATTTTATTATATAAAAAAGTTTTATTTAAATAGAGAAAAAGTTTTATTTAAATAGAGAAAAAGTTTTATTATTAAATAAGTGCAAGTTAATTAATTTGAAAAAAAGTTCTTATCAAGTAGACCTTGAGTTATTATTAAAAGGTTTTATTGATATTAATCAATTTAAATGTAAAAGGTTAATATGGTGGGGATACGTATACATGATTACAACATAAAGCAAAACCAAAGAAAGAACTAATCCCTAATTTCCTCGTTCTTCTCCACCGCTTCCGTTCTCTCTCGATCCAATCTTCCTTTTCTCCGCTTCGATTTCTCCATTCTTCTCCTTCAACCTTGTTCACCTTTCCTTCGATTTCGCTCGCGATCTCTTCTTTTCTTCATTGATTTCGGCCTTCTTCTCCTTCTCGAACCCTCTCGAGTCTCTCATGACCTATCTAAAGATTCACAAACAAACAAACATCAATTCTGGAAAAAAAAAAAGGACAAGTGAAGAGTCGTTACCCATGATAGTACTGACGACGGCCCCGTCGGCGGCTTCGCGGTGGTGACGTCGAGGGTGGTTCGCGATTTCTCGGTGGAGGTTTCGTGATGGTTAATGGCGGCTTCCGAGGGTGAGTCTTTCCGGCGACGAAGCAAAGGGTTCGAATGGTGATTACACGGTGGAGTTTATAATAAGATAAGCTCTCATTCTTTTTTCAATTTACACATTTTAGGGTTGATTTGGGGCTTAGGTTTTTCTTGAATTTTTTTGTGTGTTTCTGAGAACGGTTGTGCGGATCTTGTTTATTTGGACGATAGGGTCTATATTTTTTTGTGGTCCTTAGTTGTGAATTCCTTACTCCTTTTATAGCCATCTTAAGAAGACGAGATTCATGGCATTAATCTCCTTTCCTTTCTGAACCGATATGTCTGTGCCTGCTTTGGAAAGTTGATTGAATTTGTTGATACATGTTTCTACCTTGTTTTGGGAAGAGTTTATGACTTTGTCAATGTCAATTTGGAAGGTTTTAATTGTTTTCTGATTGTTGTTCCTTTGTGTATTTTATTACTCGCCCAGATTTGTACAATTGGAGTATCAGCCACGGAGTAGCCACATGGTATCAATGTAAATCCGCTAACATCAGAAACGTTACCAAGCACAATTTCAAATTCAACAGAGGTCACACTAGATGGAGCTTTCCAATATGGTAGCCGTGAACCAGAATGGAATGGAGTAAGCAATGACAAAAATGGAGCAGAGTTTGCTGCGGTTTCAACCGGGTGTAAAAAGCTGGCAAAAGGAAACTCGGCCAGGGATTCATGTCCATTCAATAACAGTTGTACAACTTTACCAGCTGACTGTCTATCAGGGACCTGATTCTTTTCAGAAGACAATCCCATGATGATCCAATGATTTACTTCAAGGCATTGGATGCAGCCTTTTCCACATGGTCTTTTCTTCCTAAGCTAAGCATAGCCCAAAATTAGAGTGTCAAGCACAATATCCCGGCATCATCGTTTACAAATTATGCCACTCCGAGCTAATAAGCGGTTTATAGGTAAGTTAATTGGAAGTTCATGATAAGCTTTCCCATCTTTTCTTGATTAACTTATCATGTTTGTGTTTTGGTTTGCAGGCACCATTAATTTTTCACTACATTTGCCGAGGCAGAGTTCTAGTTGACATAAGTCTTGAAGGGGCATGATGAATCATGGCATCTTGAAGCTTAACTTATTTCTTAATTCTCTTACTGTTGAATGACTATTTTCAAGTGTCTGCCCTGTTTGGAAATGCAGGTTTGGGACTTAGAGACGTTGTTGTTCGAGTCGTGTCAGCGAAAGTTGAAGCTGCTTATTAGGGCATTGTATGTGAACTGAGGATCTCTCAATTTCTTGACTGACGACATTAGAACCTGATGACGGTAATTGATTCGGTTGCACTTTTGTCAATGTTATTCTAAGCATCTGATCTTATTTATTAATGCTGCTCAAATTGCTTGTATTACCGATAGTGACTACTTGCTGATTTTGTGCTTTGTGATTTGAACTCAGGTTTTGGTGATGAATGCTGGGTTGCATGATTCTTCGGTGTTTATTCCATCAGAAAAGAGAGACTATTCTTAAAGTCAGCTCTGCACTTGAAGAAAAAATATTTCTTGACTTGATGTCCCTTTGCCATTGCAAGGAGTTCATCTTTGTTCTTTCCAATAACATGAGACAAATCCGGTAGAGGAAAACATGGTAAATTCAGATATTCAGCATTATAGTGATCAATATACTGTGATTTTCTTTGTGTTTGTAATACCGTTGATGTCGTGATATGCAAAACAGTGTTGTGCTAGGTTATCTCAGATGATGATGGTGACAATGTTTGAGCATGTTGGTTGTCGTTTTTGCGGTATTTCCTTAGAGGGTGGTATTTCCATTTCAAGTGTTAAGTCAGGTGCAACTTCAAGAAAATTCAAGTCAGTCAACATCCTATTTTCAGAATTTCTCAGAAACTTCTCCAACCTGGAGATTCTCAGTAACACTTCCTTCATTGGTCATATTATTGCCTTTAGCCGGATAATTTGGGTGAGACAAAGTTTCTAAATCTACCGACATATCCATTCCCTCATATGCTTCAAGTGGGTCTGATAATGAGAATGGCTCATTTAAATCAAAATTGTTGTCCATAGAAGTATTTTTAGCACTATGGCTAGATTCTCCATGGTTACAAGCTCTTAACTCCTGCATTTTTGTGGTGCAGGAAAAAATATTCTCTGCAATCATCAGATGTCATCTTTTCAATCAATGGCTGCTCGTTCATCTCCTTTGTAAGCTCATCATCATTCAGATCAAAATTACGAGTATGACTTGATAAGTCTGGGCTTTATTCTGTGATATTGAAGACTTCGGGACCAGCCGTGTCCTTGCTTAATTCATTGTATTATGATTGTATCTGTATTTTTAACCATCTTTGCATTTTCTACCTGCAGCAGGTTTACGTGTTCAACATCAAGCTTCAAGGATTCCCTCTCAATACCAGGCAAACCAGTGGTTGAAGGAAGTGCCAACACTTGCCGTCGTGAGTAGCATTCGGAGAATTTAACATGTGTGCTCCATCATTGAGGTGCTGGTGTGGGGAGCCCACTGGTTATGATGAAAGGCTTGCGGCTGCACTTTGATAACCATAGTTGCCTTGGCGATATCTCCTTGTAATTGCCTATACGCACCTGGCATTGGGGTATGACAATGCTATGTTTGGCTTATCCGTTTCGCTTTTGGTAAGGATATTAGCATTCCCACGAGCTTTAAATTCATTTTCACCTCTGGCAACTGTGCTGAAAATTTTCTAATCTTGCTAGGGACTGTCTTGGAAGGTAGGAAGCACATCCTATTACGAGGATTAAATTTGATTGATGAATCCAAATGCTCTGCTAATAGTTCTGTTTAATCCTATGCAGCGGCGAGGTTGCTGGGCACATTCGATTGTATGACAATAACCTTTCACATTAGTTCTCACAATATACAGGCAGTCACTAATTCAGCATATGTATATTTGCAGGGGGGATAGTGAGCGGTGCAAGTGTATCCTTGGGGCAGACGTCACGAGAGTAGAATTGTGGATACTCATGGCATGAGTATTTAGCTGCTTAATATATTTTGGCACTCTTGGAGAGTAGCGTTGTGGAGAAGACTTGTTTCTAACCCGAGTTGGCTTATTTTAGTGTATCCATGTAGCAGCATAGTTGTAGTTGTAGTCATTTATCACTTTTTAATGCATTTCAAACTTCAATTGTATGATGGTCACTTATTCCATAATGGTAAAAGTGATACGACTTCCATTTGGTATAGACGACCTCTTCTTCTTATTTTTTTACTAAAATGTGTTGCTTGGTTATAAAATTAGGAAAGCTTTTGTGAATGCAAATGGTGTATATTCCTGTAGTGCCGAAAATACATACTCTGAGTTACAGTTGTGAGGTTTTTTCGGTCGTGGTTGAAGACTAGCAAGCCTTGCAATTTAAATCCGAGTTCTTGTAATAATAATTTCTACTAGTCTTTGAAATGCGGATGAATTGAGAATTTTATGGGATTCGTGAGCCTTCATCACTCTCCACCTTTATGCCTTCACAATTGAAATTTCTTCTCTTATGACTTGAATATATTCAGATAGTTATAAATAACAAATGAATTTATCTCTTGGATTTTAATATAACAACTTTGACAATGGGCCTGGCATAACCGATGGGTCCTTGAGTGGATTAATTTGAACCAACTTTGTGTAACATCATTGAACTAGGAAATGGTGGCACCTTGACTTTAGGAGTGGACCTTGTAATGAGAATGGTTTTCACCCAACATACGAGGTATGGGGAAGGCCATGGAACACCTTAATAACACTTATAAAATTTTGGTCACAAAGTTCTTGAACCCATGAATATATATTCCTAACCGAGATTAGATCTTGTATTTAAGCATGAACTTCATATCAGAACTTGTGATGAATTGAAATCATGAGTCTTGATTGTCACTTTGAGGACTTTTGAGTCTTGAATTTTAAGCAAGGAAGTCATCTTGTGTAGGCCAGCTTTAAAACAAATAATTCTCCAAGTACAAACTAACATGAGGAATCCATCACGCCAATGCATAGCCAAAGTAAATTGAACCATCGAGACCAACATGTATTTGTGATGCTTGATTGTGAGAGTGAGTATCATCCGCACTCGAAAATAATGTACCTGCACAAGTCAGTTAGTCGCACACAAAGTAGATAGATAAAGAGGTGGAATCTTAGGGTCAAAAATTAGGGTGCGACAGATGCCCCTATTTAAGTTACTCCTATTCGGAGATATGGAGATTGAAATCTCCGTCTCGACGAGATAGGAGGGACTTAAATATAAACATTGCACGAATTTTTGGCCTTAAGAAGCCACCGAATGCAAATGATATGTAATGTTATGATAATGCAAGACAAAAGTTTGCGGAGTGATGGTGCCACAGGGGGAAAAACTAGACGCAACACGCGGGAAGAGTAGGCTGAACAAAGGAGACTCCATAGGGAAAGATTGGTAATCACAAGGTATCTGTAAATATGTTGTGCAGATCTTGTGAGAAAATCCATTGGAGGAACCTAACTGTATAGGTCAAAATGTAATGATTTCAAGATATCATCTGGAGAAATCTACTGTCGAGACTTGTAAGTTTAATTGAGAATACTTTTGGCAACGTATCTACTGGTAAAATTTGTAGGGAATCTACTGCCGAGACTCTATGTTGATGCTGCTGGAGATATACTTATGACGAAGTCTTTTGGAAATCTACTGCTGAAATTAACCAGGAAATAAAATATGAACTACCCACTGCCGAGGTCTTCTGGGAATCTACTGTCGAGATTAGCCAGGAAATAGATATGAACTACCTACTGCCGAGGTCTTCTGGGAATCTTCTGTCGAGATTAGCCAGGAAATAAAATATAAGTACCTACTGCCGAGGTCTACTGGTAATCTACTATCGAGATTAGCCAGGAAATGAAGTATAAATACCTACTGCCGAGGTCTACTGGTAATCTACTGCCGAGATTGGCCAGGAAATGAAGTATAAATACCTACTGCCGAGGTCTACTGGTAATCTACTGTCGAGATTGGCCAGGAAATGAAGTATAAATACCTACTACCGAGGTCTACTGGTAATCTACTGCCGAGATTAGCCAGGAAATGAAATATGTTTGAATAAACCTCCCCGAGCGTCATGGTCTGGATGCCATGAGCTGGTCTCATGTTTCTTGAAATAACTGCCCCACGCCTCATGGTTTGTTTGCCACGAATGGGTCTCAGTCTTTTGATGTAAAACCTCCCCGAACGTCATGGTGTGTTCGCCATGAGTTGGTCTCAGTTTCTTCCTAAAATGATGAAAACTCATGAGAGCATCTTCATAGGGGATTGTAAATTTTGTAGTTTGTAGAGTCATTGTAAATTGTAGATGTTGATGTAGATGTTGTAGAACTTTGTAAATGTCGTTGTAGATTGTAATTTGTAGATTGTAGATGTTGTAGAATTTTGGCTGCAAGCCATAATGTACTGAAGGTTGCAAAACTTCACCGGAGATCTTCAAAAGAGATGTAAGCCGATTGAATTGTAAAGTATGTCTTCTCAAATAAAGAGAGACTAATTGTAATAATCTTCCTCAACTTCTCCGGGGAGATTTTGCTTGACGGAAATGAACTTGTGTGATGAACTCGCTGGGGAATACATTTCTGAGGAGCATCCTAACTGTTGCAAAATGTGTGAATTCTCAAATAAAGAGAAATGTCTGTAAGGCTTTCCATTTACCAAGTCGATAATTACTGGGGATGGGCAAACCATCTTGAGGAGACTGTCATTTGTCATTTTGATAAAAACCTGATTGGAATGAGTTGCTCAAATAAAGAGGTTGCTTACAATTTGGATGCAAATTGTCGAGGAAATCTGATAATATTGTTGGGGAAGCATCCGTCTTCAATGATGATCTTCATAGAGACTCTTCTTGGGGAGCAAAGTGCAAAGTAAATGCAAGCTTAAGTCAAAAGTTGGAGATATCCAAAATGTGATTGCCGAGGACCAAAATTCAATTCAGGAAATAACTGAAGAGAAACTGTCAAGTAAGACTCGACCATTGAGGTATGAACTCAAATGGGATTGTACTGAAGCAACCGCCTTCCACGAGGATCGAACCCTGTGGGGAAATAGAAATCTTGTGCTCTTTCTGCCTAGGGCTGACAACTCTACTTGGAAGGAGAAGACAAACCCGATCACTCAGAGATAAACACGTCCAGAGTGACAGAACAGACAGACATAAAGGTGCTAAATGCATATGCCATGCTATCTATCTATATGCTATGCGTATGTCTAATGTTGACAAAACAAACGGACAAAGGAAACCGGAGATGAAATAATCATCTCGAAGCAAACATTCGATCAATCTTCAAAGGTAGAAGTACCACTAGGATAGGTGGAGAACCAAATACGGGATCACACTCCTGCTTCAGGTCTTGAAAACTTCTACTTGGGGAATAGAGAACATTCCACTTGGGGATAAAACACCTTAAACAATATTGGTTATCTTGCTGAAGATGAGAATAAAGATCTATTAGGGGTGGATCAAACTCATAACTGTAGAAACTTCATGGATAAAAATAAGTATCCGTTTCGCTGGAGAGACTCATGCTGGAGAAGATCGACGTCGTAGAAGGTCTACTAAGGAGTAGAACATATCCACTTCACTGGGAATATGAAGTTGGAGAAGATCCACTGAGGATTAAGGTAATACCCACTTCATTGGGGAAGTGAAGTTAAGCAGATCACTGGGAATTCTGGAGATTTCTTGCATCGAAAAGATTCACAGGGAAATGTCATGACCATCTGGAGTAAAATTCACCGGGGAACATGAAGAATGTTGAAAAGTAGTGGTAGTCGCCATTTTTGAACAATAGATTGTTGCACATGGATAAGATAATCTTCACTTCTTAGATGCCCCAAGTTACATGGTAATGAGAAGAATTCATTTTGAGAGGACTTTACAGAAAACATGGCGTCCCACATGCCCCATTGCTTTCAAACTCTCTGGAGAGATTTGCCGAATCTCGACGTAACTGGCCCTGATCGACGGTATTATAACTGCATCTTCAGAAATAGCTCTTCAAGTGAAGTCAAACTTACACAGAACAAACCACTTAGACACATAGTTGCCCCTCTCTAGCAAGATCTTCAAGTTCCAATAGAACAAACTTAATGTTGATGTTTATATGCAGACCTTCTAGGATATAAAGCCATCCCAAGTAACCTTTCTAAGATATCAAGCAAAGTTAGCGCGTCAGAAATGTTAATTTCGACACTGTTA